TACATGCGGGAGGCTTTGTATGAGCAGACCAAGAGTGGTTGCTTTCACAGCGAAGCAGTGTAAAAGGCACCCCCAGTTGGAGAACTGAGTGGACACAGCTGTTCATCAGTCCAGATTGTACCCTGGGCCTAGGTAATGTCACAGACATCACTTCAAAATATGAGAGGATGGCCACCAGGAGTCTAGGAGCAACAGCTCCAGTGAATCATAATTGTAAGGCCAAGAAGGACAATTATGATCATCTCATTTGACATTCTGCTTAGTGCTAACCATAAACTTGCACCCACTAATTCCTGAATGTCCAATAACTTGTGGTTAAACTGAAGTATATCTTTCAGACAGACATGCAATCTTGATTTAAAGATTTCAGGTAATGGACAATCTACCACGTCCCTTGATGAGTAATTCTAAACATTACCATTACTATTAAATGTGTGTGCCTTATCTACAGTTTGAATTTCTCCATTTGTCTTTGGGTATAGCTCAGAGATTTGCCAACCTGAAGCAGAGTGAAACTGAGATGATTACCAATTTCATTTCTGAGCAGCAGTGAAAGTGAGCAGAGTCTGGTCAGTTTCATTTCGCTGCTACCTGACATAGCTCTGAGCAGTGACAAAGACCCTCAAGCTGTGGTTGCAGATTCAAGACGGTAACACCGCATTAGTTTACATTAAGGTCACAAATGGAAAGCTATCTTTGCAACCATGATGGTGAAAAATGTAAAAATAGAAACTGAAGTTCTTCAGAAGGGAAAGGCTTAGGGCCCTTTCCAGGAAAAATTTCTGACATGCCAGTGATGAGCAAACAAATGGATTTTTGAGCCCTGCTGGAGGTTGTAGAGTTGGTTGGGTTTTTTAAAATCATTGATATATAATATGTACATGGCCCTGTACAGTAGAGAAAATATAGCCACAATACCTGCTCCAAAGATCTTGTGGTCTAAGGTTATGATTCAATACTATACTGAACAAAGAAAAGGGTATCAGAGTAGCAGCCGTGTTAGTCTGTATCCGCAAAAAGAACAGGAGTACTTGTGGCACCTTAGAGACTAACAAATTTATTAGAGCAAAGGTGCCACAAGTACTCCTGTTCTTTTTAAAGAAAAGGGTAGTTACACAGCTTGAACACTTCATGGAACACATGGTTCTTAGTAATTTTTTTTGAAGGTGGGATGGGACAGAGCAGAATGAAGAGACATGGAGTGAGAAGTGGACAAGGGAGACCATCAAAAATGAAAAGAGACGAGAATGGGCAGCACAAGAAAGGGAAAAGGGTGGGTGGGCTTGAGAAAACAAATTAGGAAAAGTGTAGGATAGGCCAAGTTATGTGGAGCCTTGAAAGTGAGCGCATGTAATTTCTACTTGATGTAGCAGACTGAAAGTTAGTGCAGGGTCTGAGTGAGAAAGTGGGGAGACTGAATAGTGAGAGACAACAGAGGCTTTTGGCAGATGTGTTTAGAATACTCTGGAAGGGATGAAGTGAATAGCTGGGCACCCAGAAAAATTATGGGATTTTACGATATGAGATGCTCAAGGCACAACAGGAGTTTGGTCAAAATCTCTTTCCTCAATAAGACATTCCAGCCACATGAGAGCTCAGTTCCACAGTTACTGCCTTACCTTAGCTCAAGGTGCTTTGAGACAGCTGGAGTTTGAAAGATGCTAGAGAAAAGCAAACTAAGTGTGTTATACAGTAGAATATTGCTGTTAAGCACAAGAATATGCAGTGCAGGACTGAATTTTTTTTTTTTTTAAAAAGACTCCACTGATTTCCATTTTAACATTTACATCTCCCCTTACTTACGCAGCTTAAATTTCATTTAACTATATTAACAATATGCCACTGCTACCATGCAGGAAACTGACAACACTAAAATAGCACTGAGATTATTATTACGAATGCAAGAGCAAAGAGTCAGGGAGGAAAGGGTTAACTACTTGTGAATCCATATAGCAGGAGATTATAGTGATGGAAGAAACCTATCAGGGCATCTACTCCATCCTCTTTCCAATGCACGGCTACCCCCCATAGTACCTTCTCTTTAGTGTCTTGTTCAATCTAATTTTTAAAATAAGCCATTGCCCAGTCTATGGGTGCATGTCCCATTCTGTACTAGAACATGAAGCCAACCCAATAATAAATGCAATATGTTTACCTTAAGATTTTTCTTACAATAATAGAAATAGAAAGCAATGTGGTACAATAAAAGGATTATGTGAATATGATGGAGATTGGGGGAGATAGAGAAGGGGGAAGAAGGAGAGAAAAAGATATATCTTTCTTCAACCACAGGGAACCTTAGATTTGTTTTCTTTCTAACTTCAAAATCAAATTCAAATATTATTCCGGTAAATACTCTGACACAGTTTAGATTTTCAGTAAAATGCAATATTTCAATTGAGTACTATAAATAACAGAGCCCAACACAAGTCTGTTAAATTCAGTGTGGGAGCTCTAGCTTCTGTCTCTCCCTCACCAGAACCCACTCTCCCTTGCAGTTTCTAGACACGTAATTTTTCTTTCATATTAACCTTGAATCTGACAACTGAATGTTACACTATGTCAGGTTCACAAATATGATTGCGCTATGAGAAGGGGGAAGAAACATCAAAGGCGTGCATCACCCATCCAGACTCGATTAACCTGAGCTACAGAAAACAAAGCTATAAAATGCTTTCTATGTTGGTAATGGTTAACAAATTCATCTTCCCTAACCACTGTCTCCAGACAGAACAGAGCGTCTGCCTCTACCGGTTAAGAAAACACTGAAGCTTGTACTCTCTTACATATAGCATGTGGCTGACCCACATGAACAACAGAATGTACTTGTGGATATTTAATGCTTTGTTGTTTCTCTTAAGTACTAAAAATATCCATTTGAAGAGATGGTACTGAGTTATTTAGATTCTAACAATCTTGCGACACTTTGCCTGTAGAAAGTACATTTCTGCAGATTGCATGGTTTTAAAAGGACACAGAACAAAGGATTAACATTTTCCCCCAGAGGCCTCTGTAAGAGATAGTGCTTTACTTTAGTTATCTGCCATTTCCATCTCTATCTCCAGCTATATTACAGCAGGGTGACAACCCCACGATAGTTAAGGTTAAGACCAGCTTTCTGTTTAAAGCTCAACTCTTCTAAGTGCTCTAAAAATCTACAGTGTTACTCAGATTGTCTTGAAATTTGATGTGCATCATTTGCATATGGGATTCTGTTAACGGGCCAAATTTGGAGACATTTGAACCAAAGAGTTCCCGAGATACGGTCCCCAGCAAAAAAAACAGCCTGTTTAAAAGTTGTGCATCAAGAGTGGAATACCATGTGGGCAATCACGCAAAGAAAAATCTTGTTTACCCTCAGTCATGGACAAATCTGGCAGATTTATTTAATGACTATTTGACTTTAAGCAGTAATATATTTCTTTTTACTTTCCTGACTGGTTCCATTGTTACCCCAATAGATCCTAACAGTAAACCACACACAACGAACCACAATGCCGATAAATGCAAAGTAATGCACATTGGAAAACATAATCCCAACTATACATATAAAATGATGGAGTCTAAATTAGCTGTTACCACTCAAGAAAGATCTTGGAGTCATTGTGGATAGTTCTCTGAAAAACATCCACTCAATGTGCAGCGGCAGTCAAAAAAGCGAACAGAATGTTGGGAATCATTGAGAGAGGGATAGATAATAAGACAGAAAATATCATATTGCCTCTATATAAATCCATGTTAAGCCCACATCTTGAATACTGCGTACAGATGTGGTCACCACATCTCAAAAAATATATATATTGGACTTGGAAAAGGTTCAGAAAAGGGCAACAAAAATGATTAGGGGTATAGAACGGCTGCCGTACGAGGAGAGATTAATAAGACTGGCACTTTTCAGCTTGGAAAAGAGGCGACTAAGGGGGGATATGATAGAGGTCTATAAAATCATGACTGGTGTGGCGAAAGTAAATAAGGAAGTGTTATTTACTCCTTCTCATAACACAAGATCTATGGGTCACCAAATGAAATTAATAGGCAGCAGGTTTAAAACAAACAAAAGGAAGTATTTTTTCACACAACACAGTCAACCTGTGGAACTCCTTGCCAGAGGATGTTGTGAAGGCCAAGACTATAACAGGGTTCAAAAAAGAACCAGATAAATTAATGGAGGATAGGTCCATCAATGGCTATTAGCCGGGATTGGCAGGGATGATGTCCCTAACCTCTGTTTGCTAGAAGCTGGGAATGGGCGACAGATCACTTGATGATTACCTGTTCTGTTCATTCCCTCTGGAGCACCTGGCATTGGCCACTGTTGGAAGACAGGATACCGGGCTAGATGGATGTTTGGTCTGACCCAGTATGGCCGTTCTTATGTACAGGCAAGAGCAGCATGTGGTAAAAGGCTGCATACCACCAACAAGGACACCCTACTTTATTCTCCTTTGAATTTGATTGTGATACTGAGCTTTCATTTCTATACTGCCTTTTACCCAAACATCCTTACAAGTATTTACTTTATAAACACTGCTCCTGGATTGTACAACTATATAAGTAATACTGCATCCATCACCAAAACACAGCCAACCACTGGGGCAAAAGGTGGCAATTGTTTAATCTCTCTCAGCAACACTACAGAACAGTTGAGGTCAGGAAGCAAAGAATACCATGTTCTCTTCAAACTGAAAGGGAAAACTAAGAAGACCATGTAATTACCCATGTTGAAATTTGATCAGTCTACTGAGGATCTAACACTCCTGCTCTTTCAAGAAGCAACATGGAATCTTTGATTACAAATTATAAGGACTTTGGGTTTGAATTTTGTATTTCATTCTAATATTAGCAACTCTTGAAGCATAGTGCTCCCAGCTCCAGGATAACCCAGGAGAAAGATCACAATCACCAAAGTATGTTTCACTACTGAAAAGCACTGCATTTCCTGAAATTCTGAAGCCTAAATGATGAAAGAAAAACAAAAGTATTTGATGCTTGCACCATACCTGTCATGGGATCAAACAGCTGATTGGCCTCCAAGTCTGTGAAGGTGCTGAAACAAATAGGACATTTGAAGGAGGCACGATTGGTGGAATCTCTCTCGTCCGTCTCAATCCTCCTCCTCATGTGGTCCAGCTTGTACTTCACCACATTGACCAGCAGGCGATAATTGATGAAGTAGTAGTTGTGCCGGGTGGTTTTGCCATCCGGAGCTGTCTCCACTCTCATCCTGCATTTGATGAACTTGTCCCCCTTGAGGGTGTTAAGAACTGCCCGCAGTTGCTTCCGATCAAACTTCAGCAGCTCCAACATGTCCTCCTCCTTTACGCAGGGATTCCGGATGAGGATGTCCAGAGCCAAAGCATGTTCAATGCCATAAAAACCACGCACCACATACTTGGCAAGGCGCTTCAGAGCCGCTGGGACTTCAGTGAGGACGTCCGGGTCTGTCATATCAGGTATGACACTGAAGCTTCATGTATACTGCAAGGAAAAGAAGATGGACTATAAATTATTTTCCCTCACTTAAACAGTTTTGATTCAGGTTACCAAAACCTAAAAAGGAATGACCACTAAAGATAATAGTTTCTCATTTCCCCTTCCCCATCCCTCAACACTCTCTTCAGGTATTAATAATGCAACTAACAGCAGAGTATGATTAGACAGCGCACTGTTTTCACTGCAAAATGGGAAAATGTTGGTGATTTTTTTCTACCATAATACCTAATAGATTTCAGTTCCACCTGCTCTGCTGTAACATTAAATATCTCTTGCCTTTGAGCTCTTATAGAGCTACATGATCAGCTGAGACTTATATCTAGGAAACAGGCACCAAAAGTCTACAATGAGACACATCATCACACAGAAATAAATCACAGTTTGACATTTGGGGAGTTTAATGAGGGAGTTCTCCAGGTGAAGGAGGAGAAACAACATGATGCTTGAGGTGAGTTTGTTGTGTGTCTGTGTGCAGTTTATAGTGTGGTCTGGTTGGGGCACCATGTGCTGAGCCTAAGGCCTGCCAGGCAAGGCTGAGAGCATCTTAACAAGGCTTTGATCCCTAAATCCTTTAGGATCTGTAAACCAGGGGATGGGGCTACTCAGGGAGAACTGGGGGTTAAAAAGCCAGCTTCTAAGTGACCAGAGGAGCTAGCAGGGGAGTTTAGAGAGGGAGCCTGAGAGCCAGATACATCTAACATGCTCTAAATTTAGGCCAATAAACACCTTCCCCCTTACCCTCCCCCTCCCACCCAAAAAATAGCTGCAGGACTAAAACTAATGCAGGCAGAAGCCCAGCAGCAGAGAGGGGCCTACCCAGTTTATTGCACTGAATGCAGCATGTACGATTACCTGCCTTATGGGCAGGTGGCATATGTATGTAGTCAATGCAAGCAGTTTGTGTCACAGGCTCTTGAGGCCAGAGTGGCTGACCTGGAGGAGTTAAGGGAGACAGAGAGGTACAAAGACAAGACTTTCCGGGACACAGTAGTGGTTCCACTGCCTCTGTGCTGTTGAGGAGGATGGAAGTCTCAGGGAAGGAGAACATTAAAATGGAGCGGAGGGAAACGATCTCATAGTTGGGACCCTTCTTCCAGATGATGTCATGGTATCTTCACACACTGGGGAAAGGGACCTCATTTGTTAGGCAGAGACCAGTAATAGTAACGGGGGATTTGATCATTAGAAATATAGATAGTTGGGTTTGTGATGATCAAGACAACCGCATGGTGAATTGCTTGCTGGGTAGGAAGGTTGCAGATCTCTCAAGACATCTAGACAGATGTATGTGCAGTGCTGGGGAGGAGCCAGTGATGTGGTTCATGTAGGTACCAATGACATAGGGAAAGGTCGGAGAGAGGTCCTAGAGGCCAAATTTAGGCTGCTACATAAGAGATTCAAGTCCAGAAGCTCCATGGTAATGTGTTCAGTTCCACCATCAAGGACAGTTAGACAGGCAGAACGGCAGGGCTTCAATGTGTGGATGAAACAATGGTGTATGGAGGAGAGTTTTAGATTTATTAGGAACTGGAGAATCTTTTGTGAAAGGAGGAGCCTATCCAGGAAAGATAGGTTCTACCTAAACCAAAATGGAACCAAATTGCTGGCATATAAAATTAAAGAGGGTCAGAGGAGTGTTTAAATTAAGGGCGGGGGGGAAGCTGACAGGTACAGAAGAGCACACAGTTTGGACAGAGACATCCCTTAGGGGAGGAACTCTTAACGGGGATCCTCTATATCCTACTAACAAAGAGAGGATAGAAGTTGATAAAGTACAAATGGGAACTGAAGAGAAACAGTCAAATGAAAAGGAGTCCCATTCAGTTACATCACATGAAAGCAGACAACTAAAGATTGACAAATTCTATAAGTGCTTGTATACAGATGCTAGAAATCTAAATACTAAGATGGGTGAACTCGAGTGCCTGGTATTAAATGAAGATATTGCTATAATAGGCATCACAGAAACTTGGTGGAAGGATGGTAATCAATGGGACACTAATACCAGAATTCAAAATATATAGGGATGAGAGTAGGTTGTGCTGGTGGGGGAGTGGCATTATATGAGAAAGAAAGCATAGAGTCAAATATAGTAAAAATCTTAAATGAATCAAACTGTACCACAGAATCTCTATCGATAGACATTCCATGTTTGAACAATAAGAGTATAGCAGTAGGAACATAGTACTGACCACGTGACCAAGATGGTGATGGTGACTATGAAATACTCAGGGAGATGAAAGAGGCTACAAAAATAGAAAACTCAATAATAATGGGGGATTTCAACTATCCCCATATTGACTGGTATATGTCACCTCAGGACATGATGCAAAGATAAAATTTCTAGACACCATTAACAACTGCTTCTTGGAGCAGCTAGTCCTGGAACCCACAAAGGAAGAGGCAATTCTCAATTTAGTTCTAAGTGGAGCACAGGATCTGGTCCAAGAGGTGAATATAGCTGTATAGCTTGGTAATAGCAACCATAATGTAATTAAATTTAACATCCTAAGGGGATACCAAAGAAACCCACCACAGTAGCATTTAACTTCAAGGGGAACCACACAAAAATGAGGAAGCTACTTAAATGGAAATTGAAAGGAACAGTCACAAGCCTGCAAGCTGCATGAAAACTTTTTAAAAAACACCATAATAGAGGCTCAGATTAAATGTATACTCCAAATTAAAAAAAAAACAGCAAGAGGACAAAAAAAAAAAATAAAAAAAGACTAAACAGAGTAAAAGAGGCCGTTAGAGGCAAAAAGGCATCCTTTAAGAATTGGAAGTCAAATCCTATGGAGGAAAATAGAAAGTTGCATAAACTCTGGCAAGTCAAGTGTAAACATATGATTTGGCAGCCCAAAAAAGAATTTGAAGAGCAACTAGCAAAAAAGACACAAACTAACAGGCAAACTGGTTGAAACTATAGTGAAGAGCAGAATTATCAGACACGTAGTTGAACACAATTTGTTGGGGAAGATTCAGCACAACTTCTGTAAAGGGAAATCATGCCTCACCAATCTATTAGAATTCTCTCAAAGAGGTCAACAAACATGTGGACAAGGGTGATCCAGTGGATATAGTGTACTTAGACTTTCAAAAAGCCTTTGACAAGTTCCCTTGCCAAAGTCTCCTAAACAAAGTAAGCAGTCTTGGGTAAGAGAAAAAGTCCTGTCATGGATCACTAACTGATTAAAAAGACAGGAAACAAAGAGTAGGAATAAATGCTCAGTTTTCAGTATAGAAAGAATAAATATGGGGGGGGGGTCCCCCAGGTATCTGTACTGGGACCAATGCTGTTCAACAGAAAAAGGAGTAAACAGTGAGGCGGCAAAGTTTGCAGATGATATAAAATTACTCAAGATAGGTAAGGCCAAAAAAGACTGCGAAGAGTTACAAAGGAATCTCACAAAACTGGGTGACTGAGCAACAAAATGTAGATGAAATTCAATGTTGATAAATGCAAAGTAATGCACATTGGAAAACATAATCCCAATTATACATACAAAATGGTCTAAATTGACTATTGCTAGGGTTGTCAATTAATCGCAGTGAACTCAAGTGATTAACTCAAAACAAATTAACTTGATTTAAAAATTCTTCGTGATTAATTGCAGTTTTAATTGCACTATTAAATTTAAATTGGTATTCTATTGTTTATTATAAATAATTTTGATGTTTTTCTACATTTTCAAAGATATTGATTTCAATTACAAGACAGAATACAAAGTGTACAGTGCTCACTTTGTTATTTTTTATTTCAAATATTGGCACTGTAAAAAACAAAAGAAATAGTATTTTTCAATGGATTGTAGTACAGTCTCTTTATCCTGAAAGTGTAACTTACAAATGTAGATTTTGTTTAGTTACATAACTGCACACAAAAACAAAACAATGTAAAACTTTAGAGCCTACAAGTCCATTCAGTCCTACTTCTTGTTCCAGCCAATCGCTAAGACAAACAAGGTTGTTTACATTTACGGGAGATAATGCTGCCTGCTTCTTATTTACGTCACCTGAAAGCGAGAACAGGCGTTCACATGGTACTTTTGTAGCCCGCATTGCAAGGTAAATAAGACGTTTTACGCTGTTTTATGTTTGAGTGCAGTTATGTAAAAAAAAAAAAAAAAATTAAAAATTCTACATTTGAAAGTTGCACTTTCTCTCTGCCTCCCTGCTACAGCCCCAGGGCCGGAGGACCTGTCAGCCCCCACGCAACCCCAGGATTGGAGGACGTCTCAAGCCCCCACTACAGCAGGCAGGACTGGAGGTGGGATCTAGGGACCATGTTCGTTCCCCAAAGGGGCCCACAAATATGTTTGGTGCCAAGCCCACAAAAGGTTAATCCGGCCTTGCTCATAAAGAGCTCTTCTTTCCAGTTAAGGAGAGCTACTTTCCAGCTGATGGCTGTTCATAAACTTAATTAGGATAAAGGTCTCTGCACCCCCCGCCATGGCCCTGGGGCTGGAGCTCTCTGTGTCCCTTCTCCTGCCTCAGCCCCGGTGCTAGAGTCGTTATGGGTCCCTTCCCAGGGTGGACCTGGCATGTTTATGAGACCTATTTTCCTAATCCCAGGGAATTTAAATTGGGATAGCTCATCATCAGTAGACAGTTTTACCTGTCTTGGTGTTCACTTCCATGAGTCCTCTCTGTCACCTTCCACTTCCAGAGCAGACAGACCACAAGGGAGGGGGAGGAAATATAGAGGGAGAAAGACTGCACTAATATCCTGTCTTGTCATCACTATCACAAACCCCTACTCTCCCAAAGCACAGGATCCAGAACTCACATTCTTCAAAGCTGACAGGGAACACCATCACCCTGGCAGCAAGAAAGCCTTCCACGTTCTTCATCTGAGCACACTAATGAGCCATCACTGTGCAATCATCAAGCCCTGCATGTGACTCAGCAGCTGCTGAATCATCTGTCAGCTGAGATTGTTCAGGATTTTGCTAGCAATTATTCATAAAATGATAACATGCTCT